TGTTTCTCCTCCCCCCCCCACTGATTCCCCCCTCCCACTCCCTCCCTGCCCTGTCCCAAGCCTGTTAAATTCTTATTCTAGAAATGAAAATAAACAATTACTTTACAAAAGTTAAGGTTTTTTTTTTTTTTTTTTTAAAAAACCTTTAGTGTTTTTCTAGACCAAAGACATATTCTTTTTTGATAAAGGACATTGTTTGCAAGGGTTTTGAGATTTTCTGTATGGTCTTTCTTCATTCTTGGTGATAGAGTTTATGCATTTCTAAAAATAACATTTAGAAAATGTATATTTAGAATGATCCAAGACATTTTCTTCAGATCTTCTAAGGTTGACTCTTGTGCTCAGTACATTCCCAGTATGTGTTATGTTTTAAAGCGCTCACTTGTCCTGTTTCCAGATTATTATTTTGAAATCTCAGTATTGAAATTTTGTTTCTATTTTTTTTTTTTTTATCCTCTCCCGAGGACATTTTTTCATTTTTTGTTCAGATAGAGTGGGAGGGAGAGAGAGGAAGAAAGAGAGAGAGAAACATCGACGTGAAAGGGACACATCGAGTGGTTGCCACCGGCGCGACCCAACCAGGGCCGGGGACAAACTGCAACCAAGATACCTGCCCTTAGCGGGAACCGAACCCGGGTCTCTCTGGACTGCAGGCAAAATGCTCTAACTGCTGAGCCAAATCTGCCAGGGCTGTTTCTATTTTTTAAATTCTTAAGTATATTATTTTTCATGCTATTGTAAATGGAATTGTTTTAGTTTCCTTTTCAAATTATTCACTGTTGGTATATAGAAACATGACTGAATTTTGTATGTTAATTTTATATCTTTAAACTTTGCTGAATTTGTTTATTAATTATAACCATTTTTTTGTGTGGCACCTTTAGGGTATTCTGCATATGAGATAATGTTGTCTATGGGTAGAGATAACTTCTTGCTTCCAGTTTGGAAGCTTTTTACTCCTTTTTCTTGCCTAACCGCTCTAGCTAGGACTTCCTGTAGTATGTTGAATACAAGTGGTGAAAGCAGGAATTATTTTCTTGTTCCTCATCTCAGACAAAAAACTTTCAGTTTTTCACCATTAAATAGGATATTAGCGATGTGATCCTTCCCTCCCTTCCTCCCTCCCTCCCTCCCTCCCTCCTCACTCGAGGATACTTCTCTATTCATCTTCAGACAGAATGGGAGGGAGAGAGAGACAGAGACAGACATGCAAGAGAGACACATCAACCAGTTGCCTCCTGCAGGGCCAAGTACCGAACCACAACTGAGGTACATGTTCTTGACTGGAATAGAATCCGCAACTCTTTGATCTGAAGGCTGGTGCTCTAACCATTCGAGTGCTCTGACACATCGAGTGGTTGCCACCGGCGCGACCCAACCAGGGCCGGGGACAAACCGCAACCGAGGTACATGCCCTTAGCGGGAACCGAACCCGGATCCCTCTAGACTGCAGGCCGACGCTCTAACCGCTGAGCCAAACTGGCCAGGGCAAGCTTTTTTTTTTTTTTAATTGATTTTAGAGAGGGAAGAGAAAAGGGGAGAGAGAGAGAGATAGAGAGAAGTATCAATGTGAGAGTGAAACATCTCTTGGTAGTCTTCTGCATATGCCCCCACCAGGGATTGAACCTGCAACCTGGGTATGTGCCCTGAAAGGGAATCAAACCCACAACATTTCAGTGAATGAGATGATGCTCACATGGTAACCAACTGAGCCACATTGGCCAGGGCAGGATTTTCATATATGACCTTTATTATGTTAAGGTGGTTTCCTACTACTCCTAGTTTGTGGAGTGTTTTCGTTATGAGTTGAACTTTGTCAAATGCCTTTGTGGCATTTATTGAGAAGATCATGTGGGGTTTTCCTTCATTCTGTTAATGTGGTGTATTACACTGATTTTGTTATGTTGAACCATCCTTGCATTCCAGGAATAAATCCTACTTGGTCATGGTGTATAATCCTTTTATTATTATGCTGAATTCTGTTTGCTAGTGCTCTGTTGAAGATTTTTACACCAATGTTCATAAGGGATATTGGTCTGTAGTTTTCTTGTAGTGAGTGTCTTTGTCTGGCTTTGGTATCAGGGTAATACTAGCCTCATAGAATGATTTACGAGCTATTCTCTCTCTTTCACTTTTTGGAAAAGCTTGAGAAGGATTGGTTCTTCTTTAAATATTTAATAGAATTCACCATTGAAGCCATGTTGTCCAGGACTTTTCTTTTTTGATAGATTTTTATTTTTATTGCTGATTCAATTGCCTTACTAGTAATAGATCTATTCAGATTTTCTATTAATTTGGATATAGTCTTAATAGGTTTTGTGTTCAAAGGAATTTGTCCATTTCATGTAGATTATCCAGTATTTTTACTTATAATTGTTTTAGTACTCTCTTATAATGCTTTTTTATTTTTGTAGAATCAGAAGTAATATCCTCATTTCCAGTTCTTATTTTAATAATTCAATTTCTCTATATTTCGTAGTCCATCTAGATAAAGGTTTGTCAATTTGGTGATCTTTTCAAAGAACCAACTTTTGGTTTCATTAATTTTCTCTGTTGTTTTTTCTAGTCTCTTTCATTTATCTCTTCCTAATCTCTTTTATTTTTTTCCTCTGCTAGCTGTAACTTTACTTTGTTCTTCATTTTTGTGGTTCCTTAAATCGAAAAGTTAGGTTGTTGATTTGAGATCTTTTTTTTTTATCCTCACCTGATGAGGACATTCTTGCATGTATCTTCAGAGAGAGGGAGAGAGGGAGGAGGAGAGAGGGAGAAACATCGATGTGAGAGAGTCACATCGACTGGTTGCCACCCACTTGACCCCAACCGGGGCCAGGGACTAACTGCAACCAAGGTATGTGCCCTTAGTGGGAACCAAACCTGGGACTCTGGTCTGTAGGCCTACACTGTAACTGCTGAGCCAAACCAGCCAGGGTGAGAGAGAAGTATCAATCCATTGTCTCCCATATGCATCCCAACCAGGGTTCAAACCTGCAACCAAGGTATGTATGTGCCTTGACCAGGAATTGAATCCACAACCTTTATGGTATATGGGATGATGCTCCAACCAACAGAGCCTCCTGGCCGGGGCCTTGTGATTTTTTTGATCCACAGTTGTTTAACAGCGTGTTGTTTAAACACACTCCACACGAGTTTTCCAGTTTTTCTTCTGCTCTTGATTTCTAGTTCCATTCCATTGTGATTAAAAAGACACTTTGTATAATTTCTGTCTTTAAATCTATTAAGACTTGTTTTGTGGCCTATCATATGGTTTATCCCATAAAATGTTCCATATATACATGAGAAAAATGTATATTCTGCTGTTGTTGGGCAGTGTTCTGTTTATGTCTGTTAGCTACAGTTGGTCCACAGTGTTGTTCCAAGTCCTCTGTATTTTTATTAATCTTCTGCCTAGTTGTTCTGTCCCTTATTGAAAGTGGGGTATGGAAGTCTCCTACTGTTATTATAGACATCTCTATTTCTCTAGTATTTCAATGTTTACTTCATATATTTAGGAGTTCTAATGTTTGGTGGGTATATATTTATAATTGTTATATATTTTTATATTATGTAATATTCTTCTTTGTCTCTTGTAACAGTTTTTTGGCTTACGGACTATTTTGTCTGATATTATCATTAGCCATCCCTGCTCACTTTTGTCTACTGTTTGCATGGGATGTCTTTGTCCATCCTTTCATTTCCAATCAATGAGTGTCCCTTAGATCTAGAGTGAGTCTCTTGTAGGTAGTATATAGTTAGCTCCTGTTATCCATTCTTCCAATCTATCTTTTGTTTATTTATTAATTCTCACCCGAGGATATTCTTTCCATTGATACTTTTAGAGAAAGTTGAAGGGAGGGAGAGAGGAGAGAAAGAGAGGGAGAGAGATATCAATGTGAGAGAGATACATCGATTGGTTGCCTCCTGCATGTGCCCTGACCAGGGCTGGGATGGAACCTGCAACCCAGTTACATACTTTTGACTGGGAATCGAACCCATGACCTTTTTGGCTGTGGGCTGACACTCTAACCACTGAGTGACACCAGCTAGGGCCAATCTATGTATTATGATTGGGGAGTTTAATCCATTTACATTTAAAGTAATTACTGATAGGGAAGGACTTACTACTGCCATTTTGTTATTGATTTTCTGTATGTTTCATAGATTTTTGTCTCCCATTTCCTCCCTTCTTACCTTCCTTTGTATTTAATTAATTATTTTGTAGTGATACATTTATTCCCTTTTCATTTTCTTTGGTATATATTCTGTAAATTTTTTTCTTTGTGGTTACTATGGAGATTACATATAACATCCTAAATTTATAAGAATCTATTTTAAACTGATAACTTTACTTTATTATTAAAATTTATTTTCTGTTTTTGAACCCTTACTGTGTACCAGGCATTGCATTAAACACCCCACACTTATCTCATTTTAATCCTTTTATTAACCTTCTGAAATGCAGGTATTCCTATCTGTATTCTACAAAGGAGGAAACCAAAACACAAGGAGAATAAGTAATTAACCCAAAGTTACACAGCTAGGAAGTAGCAAAGTCAGAATTCAGTCCAGGTCTGCCACACCCTTCCATGTTCCACCCAGCATGTGAACTGTCTGCTCAACTTCCTCTGCATTCATCACATCAGATGGGGTGGCCACATGGTTTGTTAAAACTCATAGCTGTCTAGTCTCTTTAATTCCAAAACAAGTGATTTATGACTTTTTAAAATTTGACAGTTAATGTGGGTGTATAGCTACAATACAAGCATAGGAATAGCAATAGAGTGGACGCTTGAAAGTGTGCACATAAAAATGTAAGTTATCTGAAGTTTAATGTGGCCAACTTGGAGTGTGGATTTTTCTTATAATTGTTGCATTTTCTCCAATAATGAAACAAAACTTGGAACAGTTCATTAAAGTAATAAGTACACACACAAAAAAACAAAACTGCAGGTTGGAGTGCAGGAGACTGTTTAGTGAATACATTTTTTCTTCTTCTTTAATAGTCTACTGCCAGAAACATTAATTGGAAGCATGTGCTACATTCATTTGTTGATGTTTTATCGCCAGCTTCTTGGAGATGTACTCCTGAAAGACAGGATGAGCATGCAAAGTGCTGGTAAGGGGTCTCTGCAATTTCCTTTTGTAACACATCATGCTTTGAGCACATGTAACCTATGTCAGCTTGTATCTTCTGCTTCCAAAGGTCACATTTGAAATAAAAATTTAAAAATAGCATCAAAGTCAACAACATTGTGCTCAGTGTGTGTCCTGTGTGAGCTCAGTTCATATTTAATTTTTAATAATATAAGTACTTTTTATTTCAAATTCAGAAGATTTGAGATCCTAAAACTCAGATATAATATAATCATATTTTCCCTTGCTGTCTCTGAATAATCTGTTTTTACCATGTGTTTGGTATGCATATCATCTTTCTGGGAAGAGACTGAAATCACCCACAACAAAGGTTCCTAAAGCACAAAGTTTAAATATTAATGGATTTGTTCGTATTGGTTAATCCAGGTAAGAGGTATTCAGGAGTTCTGTGTACTATTTTTATTGTTGCAACTTTTTTTTTTTTTTTAATCCTCACTCGAGGATATTTTTCTATTTATCTGCAGATAGAGTGGGAGGGAGATAGAGGGAGAAAGGGAGAGAGAGAGAAACATTAATGTGAGAGAGACACATTGACTGGTTGCCTCCCGCAGACCCCGACCAGGGCCAGGAACAAACTACAACCAAGGTACATGCCCTTGATGGGAATCGAACCTGTGACTCATTGGTCCGCTGATGCTCTACTGCTGAGCCAAACCTGCCAGGGCTTGTTGTAACTTTTTAAAGCTTGAAAATTTTCCAAGTGAAATGTTAAAAAATAATTTAAAAATCAATGAGTTGTCACACATGACTGAACTAGCAAAGAGGAATGCATATGATACAAGGATTGCCTCAAAAATAAGTCTTTATTGGATGCTCTTTGAATTCAATAAATCACTAAGCACATGTGTATCGAGTTCCGACTATATGCCAGGTGTCCTGAGACAGGTGCGTCATCCCTACCCTACTAGAGCAACGGAACTGAGACACAAAATTACACGAGTAATCCTTTTCACCTTTTAAAATAGGTGTCCTGAAGGAAAATGCACAGTGAGAGCATAGAGTAGGAAGACCTGAATTAATGTGTAGGAGGAGGGAAGCCCTCTCTGGGAAACTGATATTAAGATAAGACCTGAGAGAGGAGTCAGAGACATGGAAGAGGTGGTGGGGAGATGATCCTTTTCTGAATAGAGAGACCAGCATGTCTGAAGACCCGAGGCAAGAAAATGTGGTTGTGCTGGAGGGATTGGAATGGAAAGCAGGCCAGTGAGGCTGGGGCCGAGGGAGTGAGGGGAGCCTGAGGTGCTATGGCACTCTGACAAGGAGGGTTCATGGAGCCTTTGCCAGGGACGCAGAAATGGAACTCAAAGCCAAGCACAGACATTTCTCCAGAAGTAATTATACCTCTGGGAGAAGGAGAGGTAAGCTTTTTAATCATCACTGACCTTTGAATTTATTTCAATGACTCCAGAAAAAAATTCATGAATGACATGACTTCTTAAGAGGATAAAACTTATTAGTTGTGCTATAGGTAAGGAGAAAGTTACTCGGAATTAATGACTTCATTTGAACCTCACTATCAGAATAAACGTAGAAAAACCTGGAGAAAGGACTTTTTTTCTGCTAAGGACACAAGATCATTTCCAAAGTGTCCTTCCTGGTGGGCTTCCTTCTACAGGTCTTTCAGGTGCCATTACTTATTATGGAATCTCAATATTCTACACAGTGTTTAGGCATGTGGCCCAGATCCCCAGCTCCTGATTCCTTCTGGCTTCATTCACCAGCATCCCTTGGCCACCGGTCACCAGGGTTCTTCCCTAAGCGCTGGTGGCTGCAGTCAGGCGTGGCAGCGCCTTCTGCTGGCACTCCTGACCTCTCTTACCATACCTCAGACATGAGGACAGAGAGGCTGGAGGAAACAGAGAAGAACACAGTTTTCTAGCCTTTTCCGTTCAGAGCCACTATACTCCCACCCTAGAAGCTCTGCCTGCTTGGTCTGAGACTCATTCCAGAACCCTCTGGGAATGGGTGTAGGGGAGGTTGGAGGTTGAGGGGACAGCGTTGAGCTCCTGGAGGTTAAAATGTTAGAATGTGTTGTCAACAAATCTTGTGACACAGTGATTCTAATCTGAATGAATGTTTTTCCGTTTATTGTAGTAAAACATATTGGATACAGTTTGTGTAAAATCCTTTTTTGGTCTTTGTATTGCAGATTTAATCAGTAATCCCGTACTGGCCACCTTCCCCAAGCTCTTGGAGCAGCCTGACGTGATGGATGCACTCAGGGTAGGTAGCATCACGAAGGGGTTTGGTGGCCCTGGAGCAGTTAAACACAGCACATGTGCATCCTGATACCTGTGCTAGGGTTTCTTTTCCCCCATTTGGATGGCATCTCCTGATCCATGTCCCTTTTCTAGCTAACTTGGGCTCATCCTTCCTTTTTTTTTTTGTTAATCCTCACCTGAGGATATTTTTTCCATTAATTTTTAGAGTTGAAGGGGGGAGAGAAAAAGAGAGAGAGAAAGAGAAAGAGAGAGAGAGAGAGAGAGAGAGACATTGATATGAGAGAGATACATCGATTGGTTGCCTCCTGTGTGTGCCCTGACTGGTGCTGTCTCTTGGCCTGCTGGGATCAGTGCAATGCAATGAACTACAAGCACACACTGCTTGGGATGAGAGGGAGCTTTGCAAGGGAGCAAATGCTCCAGATCTTTCAATGTAGTCCCATTTATTTGCAGATTGGTTCCCCTCAGGTTACAAGTGGATTCATGTAAATTATTTCCTTGAGATGGCATCTCTGCAAACCATATTTTATTCACATGCAAAAGAATCATGCAATGCAAGCAAGGTGATCTTCCTATCTATCAGTCTGTCCACATACACACTTTGATCCTAGGCTGGCCAGGTTGCGAGAATGCATATCACAAGGTTACAAATCATCCATCTACCAACCCTCCATCCCCACAGACTGGGGCCAAGGGTTGAACATGCAACCCAGGTATGTTTCTGATCCAGAATAGAACCTGCAAGCCTTTGGTGTGTGGGCTGATGCTCTAATCACTGAGCCACACTGGCCAGGGCTTATCTTTCCTTTCTTAGCATAACTGTTCCTTTCCCAGGCCACCCAGCACCCTGTAAGCAGGAGGAATGCATGCTGTGTACACTGCTGCAATCTCTTACTTGTTGTTTGTTCGTTGGTTTAAGATGGCCACTAATTGTGGCCTAAGAGCAAAAATCCAAAATTGTTTGTGAGATAAATGAACTGAGTTCTCAGAGGACAGTTGGGACATGCATATCATTTTTTAATCTAATTCGACATATACTGTCTGCTGCACGAAATGGCAGCTGATTGAACCATATGAAATCTCCAATTTTCAGCCATTTTTTGACCTTGAAAATGTGAGTTTTATAAAGTTCAACTTAGTATATCAGGGTTAATGAACATTAGAAGACCAGTATGCCGACAAGACAGATGCTCAGATACCATGGCAGGTGCCACAGGAGAAGCATGACCCAGAATCTTAGAGAAGGCAGCAAATGAGGACCAGGAACTGTTCCATTAAAGAGGTCCTGGGTGAGGTGGACCTTGTACATGCTGCGGCCAAGTCAGATTTTGACGTGCTGAGATGGGAATGGAAGACATTACAGGCAGGTTCCAAGATGGCTGTAAAGTAGGTGGAAGCTACACTCATTTGCTCCCCACCCAAGGCTGGATTTATAGCTAGATTATAGAGCAATGTTAATAACCAGCTGAAGGCTAGCTGAACTGAAATATTATAACCAAGGATTTACACAAGAAACCACGTAGAGACTGGTAAGAAGAGCAGAGATGCAGAAAGGGCTAGCCTTTGTCCCCAGGTGGGTGGTGGCTGAGAGGCTAGAGGGATATTGTAGCTGCAATCTCCCTCCCCCAGGAGCATGGGGGCTCAATCTCACGCAGGGATCCCCAACCCAGAGCAACAGAGATGGGAAGAGGAGCCCATATAGCATCTGGTAGTGAAATCAGTGGGGATTCAGTCTGCCTGGGAGACCCAGATGCCACCTTCCTAGGGACGAGCACTCCTATCACTACAGCAGCAGCTTCGGGAGTGCACCACTTGGTCTCCAACTGCTGGCAAGGCCACTCTGCTATGCTTGGGTCCTGCGGAGGGTCTGCTGGCTGCACCCAGCAGTGATTTGGGGCCCTCTTTTTCTGGGGAAGCTTTTAGCAAAGACTCAGATGGTGACTAAACTGGGTGACTTTGGAAAGAGGGTGGTCTCCCCCACTTTGAGCACACAGCCAGTGCCCATCTCCCAACCTGTTGCATCACTCAGCAGACCCTGCTGAGTTCAGTGATGCAGGGGGACCAGAGTGCTATGCAGAGCTGGGGCTTTCAGGCCAGTCTCCTGGGGAAGCTTTTTTCTGCGAACCAGATGGGCAGGTGCTGGGGTGCGTGGCTACATTATGGGATGGGAGGGAGCCACTCCTGTCTCCCTGATGATCTCAGCCCCTGCTACCTCAGGTAGGTGAAGAAGTGCCCATCCCTCTTCTACATGCTTCATGGCAACAACCCCAATGGGAGACTCTTGGGATCAGCCCTGCCAAGTTCTGGATACCTTGTCCCATTGGGCTCAGTTTTGCAAGGGGAAGGGAGAGTGGCTCAGAGCTGGGACATTCAAAGTGTGAGCCCCTTGGAGGCTATTGTCTAGGACTGGGACAAAGTGCTTAGGCCCCTCCTGTGGGCTGGGCTGGCATCACACCCAATGGGAAACTCTTTTGATCTGTCTGCCTGAGCCCATGACGACTTAGCTTGCTCCTGCAGAGGGGATGGCTGGCTAAATCCAACATGAACTTGCAGCAAGCTCCTCCTGAGAGAACTAGAGTTGGATACTCTTGACAGACCAAGTGGTTTAGCTCTGGGGTAGGGGCCACTTTTTCCTCACTGTCTGACTGCTTGACATACAATTAGGGGACCCATTAGCCCTGTCCTCCCAACCCCAGTTGCCCCACCCTCCTGAGCTGACAACCTGTGGAAGGGGCTGTGGTTCATGGCAAGCCTGGGCCCACTCTACAGCCTTTCTTCAGAAGGCTCTGGAGGAAGATCAGGCAACCTCAGGGTGAGGTGGAGTAGCTGACAGGTGGACCTCAGGGAGCCTTGGTCCTTTTACAGATCTGATGACAGCTCTAATCTTGAAGGAAGCTGACCCTTATACACAAATTGACCCCTCCCACACACACCCAAATCCAGTAGATGCAGCCACAAACAGTGAATAGCGTGGTATTTCCAGACATGTAGCCCAAGGATGTTTATACACAACATCTGACAGTGACCTGAACCCCACCCAAGTAGACCCAGAACCAACACAACCAGTGGTGGACTTCAGACCACACCAGAGTTCCACCCAAGTAGCCACACAAGTGGCATACCCAAAGGGGGATTATAGCAGACACCAGACCCTCCTGGGAACAACTCCACCTTGGAGTGGGGGGTGCCCCACACAGTGTCTCATACACAGCATTTCATATAGTGAGCCAGCCTGAAGGGTTAATTCCACCCATGAGAGGGCTAACAGCATTCAAAACTCAACTACAATAGAAGGGTGCACATAACCCCCATAAATACATTCCTGAAACAAGGAGCTCAGGTGATCTGGAAGATTGTGCCACTGAGCCCAATAGGACACCTTTATCATAAAACCATCATAACAAGTTTGGGAGTCATAGCAGACTTACATAATATATAGAGACAAAAAATATGCCCCAAATGAAAGAACAAGATAAATCTCCAGCAAAAGAATGAAATGAAATGGAAGCAACCAAAATACCACATTCAGAGTTTAAAACAATGGTTATAGGGATGCTCAAGGACCTTATGGGAAGAATGGATGATCTATCTCAGTAAGAACTTAAATGAAGAAATAGTAAGCATTAACAAGGACATAGAAACCATAAAAAAGAACCAGTTAGAAATGAATAATAAAATACCTGAAATGAAGAATACACTGGAAGAATCAATAGTATATTAGATGAAGCAGAGGATTAAATCAATGATTTAGAGAACAAGATAACAGTAAGAACCCAAGCAGACATCAAAAAGAAAAGATCATTAAAAAATGAGGAAAGTCAGCTCTGGTCAGTTTGGCTTAGTGGTAGAGCATTGGCCCACGGACCAATGAGTCGTGGGTTTGATTTCGACCAAGGGCACGTACCTCAATTGCTGTTCATCCCTGCCCTTGTTGGGGTCGTGTGGGAGGCATCCAGTTGATGTGTCCCTCTCACGTCAATGTTTCTCCCTTTCCCTCTCTCTTCCTCACACTCTGTCTGAAGATAAATAGAAAAGTATCTTTGGTGAAGATTAAAAAAACACGAGGAAACTCTAAGGGACTTCTGGGACAACATTGAGCATAACAACATCCACATCATATGGGTACCAGAAGGAGAAGAGAGTAAACCATGAATAGAGAACCTGTTTGAAGAAATAATGGCTGAAAACTTCCTTAACCTGGTGAAGAGGAGTCACACAAGTTCAGGAAACACAGAGAGTCTCAATCAAGATGAACCCAAAGAGACCCAAAGCAAGACACACCATAATTAAAATGGCAAATGTTAAAGATAAAAAGAGAGTCTTAAAGGCAGCAAGAGAGAGACAGTTACCTACAAGGGAGTCCCCATAAGGCTGTCAGTTGATTTCTCAACAGAAACACTTTAGGCCAGAAGGGACTGGCATGAAATATTCAAAGTGATGAAAAGCAGAGACCTGCAACAAAGACTACTCTATCCAGCAATACTCTTAAAATTGAAGGAGAAATAAAGAGCTTCCCATACAAAATGCTAAAGGAGTTTATTACCACTAAACCAGTATTGCAAGAAATATTAAAGGGACTGCTTTAAGAAGAAGAAATAGAGAATGAGAGGAACATAGGCATAAAGTACAAAATGGCAATAAATAAGTGCCTATCAATAATAACTTTCAATGTAAGTGGATTAAATGCTCCAATCAAAAGACATGGATAGCTGAATGGATAAGAAAAATGACCCATATGTGTGCTGTCTACAGGAGACCCACCTCAGAAAAAAGAATACACACAGACTGACAGTGAAGGGATGGAAAAAGTAGTCCATGCCAATGGAAATTAAAATATATATATTTTGTGCAATAATACTTGTATCTGACAATATAGACTTCCAAACAAAGGCCATGATGAGAGACAAAGAAGGTCACTACATAATACTAAAAGGGTTGATCCAACAAGAGGATACAATCTTTATAAACATATGAGCACCCAACGTAGGAACACCTAAATATATAAAGAAAATCTTGGTGAACATTAAGGGAGAGATTGACAGCAATACAGTCATAGTAGGGGATTTTAATATCCCATTGTCATCAGTGGAAAGCTTTTTCAGACAAAATTTTAACAAGGAAATGGCGACTTAAAACGACACACTGGATCAGATGGATTTAATGGATATTTACAGAACATGTTATCCCAAAGCAGCAGAATATACATTCTTCTCAAGTGCACATGGAACATTCTCAAAGGTAGACTACATGTTAGGACACAAAATGAGTCTTAAAAATTCAAGAAGATTTAAATTATATCAAGCATCTTCTCAGATCACAATGGCATGAAACTAGAAATCAACTACAATAAAACAACTAAAAAACATTTAAACACATGGAGGCTAAATAGCATGTAATTAAACAATGAATGGGTTAACAATGAGATCAAGGAATAAATACAAAATTATCTGGAAATGAATGAAAATGAACACATCACAACCCCAAATCTATGGGACACAGCAAAAGTAGTCCTGAGAGGGAAGTTCATAGCATTACAGGCCTACTTCAGGAAACAAGAAAAATCTCAAATAAATAATCTAACCCTCCACCTAAAAGAGCTAGAAAACAAACAATAAACGAAGCCCAGAGTAAGTAGAAGGAAGGCAATAATAAAGATCAGAGTGGAAACAAATGACACAGACTGAAAAAACATGCAAAAGATTAATGAAAACAAGAGGTGGTTCTCTGAAAAGATAAATACAATTGACAAAACTTTAACCAGACTCATCAAGAAAAAAAGGAGTGAGGACCCAACTAAATCACAACTGAGAGAGAAGTAACAACTGACATCACATAAATACAAAGGATTGTAAGAAAATACTATGTACAACCATATGCCAACAAATTGGAAAACGTGGGTGAAATGGATAAATTCCTAGAAACATATAGTCTTCCAAAACTGAATATGGAAGAATCTGGAAACCTGAATAGACCAATTACAACTAATGAAATTGAAACAGTAATAAAAAAACAACAACCTCTCAGCAAACAAAACTCCTGGATTGTGAAAAAATTCACAGGTGAATTTTACCAAACGTTCAAAGAAGAACATCTATTCTTCTCAAACTATTCAAAAAAATTCAATAGAAGGGAAGACACTCAAGCTCTTTTTATGAGGCCAGCATTATCCTAATTCCAAATCTAGATAAAGAAAGAAAATTATAGGCCAATATCCCTGGCGAACATACATGTTAAAATCCTCAACAAAGTATTATCAAACGGGATCCAGCAATACATTAAAAAGGTCATACACCAACCAGTAAGTGTAAAGTTGCTGAGTGCTGTTCATGTTAAGCAGATTCCTTACAGACTTTACACTATGATATATGTGAGCCTCCTACCATTAACTTAACAAAGTTCAGTTTGTTGTTGGCACGTTGATGATAATGGCACCTGGCCTGTTAGTTAAGTGCTCTGGCCTGTGAGGGTCCTCCTCAGTCTCTCCAGGACCCCCAAGCACAGCAGCCAGCTGGTGGAGGAGCACATCCCCTAAGGTGGTTCTTCCCAGGAGTGACTGTGAACGTCTCATGCACGGCTCATGCGGGGCAGGCTGTGGTCTCGGTGGGGCACTTCTCTTTGTTCCGTGGAGACTCTTCATCTTGGTGCCACATGTCAGGTTCACCCTAGGGCCTCCCCACTGAGGAAGGGCTGATGCACCCATGGAGCCCATGAAATCAGGTGCCAGCAGTTGGATACCTGCCAACAGGCACAACATGAGGGGCAGGAATGATCACCTCGGAGCCTGGGCACCCCCTCGTGTACAGTGTGCCGAGCTGGCACTCTGAGGCTTCAATGCCGACTTTGTGGGGCTAACTGAAGTCTGGCTTTTTATTTTGTTTAAAAAAAAAAAAAAGCATAGGACAAGCCTCAAGGACAGACTGAAAATATTTACTTGCAAAGCTGTACTGCATGTGTGTCACCCCGACTGCTGTCATCATCCTGGCAGACAGAACTGTAGACAAGTCTGTAGACAAGGGTGGTATTCGGCAGTTTCCTACTGTCTTTACTGGCTCACCTTCAAAGCCTGCTAGTGTTCTATTGTTCAGGTGCTGTTTGCACCGTTTGGATGTGTTCGTGTTTCACTGATTCTGTTCTGAAATTAGTTCTATTGCGTAGGAAGCATGGGCTTCTGAGGCGTCTGTCCCTGCCTGTGGGTCTGGCTGCGGGCATGAGCGGTAGGCACCCACAGATTCAGTTCTACCTGCGGTGGTTCCGTACAGCGTTCTAAGCCCCGTCCACAGGCTTAATTACAGTCAAGCTGCAGGTATGTGGTACGGCAAAGACGTGTGAATCTTGATGAATATAACATCTCTATTCCTTTTCAGAGTTCGTGGGCTGAGAAAGAAAGTACATTGAAAAGATCAGAGAAGGTAATATGCTTTTCCACACGCAGTTAATATCACAGCGTCAGTGTGTGCTCTCACATTCTAATCAGGGCTCTTGTTGAGCTAAAGTAGCCTGGTTATAATCCCTCCCAGTCCATCACACGTGTTCCAGGAAGCGTTTTGGTGACCAGTTCCTAACGTGACAAGAGGCTAGATCGGGAGTCATTTCAGATCACAGAGCTGCATGTAGTGGAGAAGAATTTTCTAAACCAGTTTCCCAGCTGACTGTCAAATTTCTCTTATTTTGAAAACACTTCTGTAGCTCTCAAAGTGTACACCCGGTAAGGAGAAGGAAAGAAAATTGGCCTAAGCCTGCCATACATTGAAACACACCTGGCAAGTGCTCCCTCCGCCGCGGAGCGTGGTCAGCACAAACCGCAGCGCCTGCCCCCAGCGAAGCGGCTCGACTGTCCACTCCAGGGTCCAACAGACAGCTCTGGAAAGGGCCACGTGGTCCACATTTTAGGCTTTGCGGGCCCCAGGGCCTCTGTCACAGCGACTCAGCTTTGTACATCTGAGTGTGGCTGTTTCTCTAAAACTTGGTTTATAATAAGACCCAGTGGCCCCATGGACCCATGGTGTTTGGACTTCTGCAGTGTTAATTATCTACAACAAACTAAAAACCCTAAAAGTTGAAAAAAAAGCGTTCATATTGGATCCTTAAGTGAGCTTCCCTTTGACCTGGACATTACATGTGACCTTTGCTAGAACTGGCAGGTTTAATGCTGTTCTGTGCAGCGTAGATAAGGAGCTGGGCCTGAGCCTGAGGAAACTGCCCGAGGGCATCTCTGTGCAGACTGCGTGTGTGCACACTTCCACCTCACCCCGCCCTGTGCACACCCCCACCTCACACCTCCCTGCGCACACGTCCACCTCACACTGCCCTGTGCACACCTCCACCTCACACCTCCCTGCGCACACCTCCACCTCACACTGCCCTGTGCACACCCCAACCTCACCCCGCCCTGTGCACACCTCTACCTCACACCTCCCAGCGCACACCTCCACCTCACACTGCCCTGTGCACACCACCTCACACTGCCCTGTGCACACCCCAACCTCACCCCGCCCTGTGCACACCTCCACCTCACACCTCCCTGCGCACACCTCCACCTCACACTGCCCTGTGCACACCACCTCACCCCTCCCTGTGCACACCTCTACCTCACACCTCCCTGTGCACATCCCCCACCTCACCCCGCCCTGTGCACACCTCCACCTCACCCCGCCCTGTGCACACCTCTACCTCACACCTCCCTGTGCACATCCCCCACCTCACCCCGCCCTGTGCACACCTCCACCTCACCCCGCCCTGTGCACACCTCCACCTCACATGCCCTGTGACTCCCACTCAGCCTGTCCGTGTGGGGCTGAGTGACAGTGTCTACACTGCAGTGCTCTTGTTATGTGAGGAGGAGCAAATCCTTACCCCTGGGCCTCCTTTCTTGAGATTCACGCAAAACACTTGCTGCCCTTCCTTATAAAAACCTGACAGTTCTCTGATGTGCTGTCTTTGAATTAAGGGTTACAGCCGACTTCACACTGTTTTAGTTGTATTTAGGTGGGCCCACACCCTGTCACCAGAATTAGACTTCAGCACCCCATGCTCTGTGGTGGAATGTGTGACGCCCTTAGACCCTCGGGGAGAACTGCTCCTCTCTGCTCCATGGGGACCCGGTGACTTGTTCCCACCGGGGCTGCTTCCTGCCTGTGTCCCTGATGCAGAGCCATGGCTGCCAGGTGCTGGCACCTCCCCAACCCCGACGGCTGTCAACACGGTTCATGGACTTGAACACTTAACAAGTGCTGGTGCAGATGCACTCACAGCTGCTGTGGTGTTTCCCCAGAGAGACAGAGAGGTGCTGAAGGCCGCGTTTCTCCTGGCTTACCACGACTGCGCGGGCCCCCTCCTGCACTCCACACTCCTGCCCCCACCCCGGTGGGCGGAAGAGGAGACCGAGGCTGCGCGCTGGGAGCTCATCACTGCCTTCCTGAAGCGAAACCGAGAGAACCAGGGCGCCCTCCCCGCTCTGCTGTCACCAGAGGGCGTCCACGAGCCTTTTGACATTTCCGAGCAGACCTACGACTTCCTGGGTGAAATGAGACACAGGGCGACGTGATGGTGGCAGCCTGGACCCTGGGCTGCCCAGCATGACGCCCTGACGCAGGGACGGCACAGAGGGACTCCCGTGGGCTGGGCTCCGTCCTCAGGCAGCCACAGTCTCTGCCAAGTGTCTGGCGGACAGTGGGGCTCTTGCATTACAATAAAGTACTTTTGCATAAGCAACTCTGTTGTAGCTAAATATAAACGCACTTTTTTCAGAAACCAACTAACAAATTTAAGTTGACTGCACCTATAGATTTGTATAATAGCAAGATTTTATCCAAAGCCGAGTTATGATTATTCAAGGTGAAAATGCAATCCATAGAATGGGAGGAGATACAAGTCATATAAGAGTCTGGTCCCTGGAATATGTCAATGTGTGGTTATTGGTAATAGAATTCATGTTATGAAATGAAGGGGAGATTAGCATGACCTAGTTAAGGAAGTTGTGTCGGTGATCACTTCATTCAGTCTAATATTGGAATGTGATTTACCCTAATTAGATATAAAGGAAGAATCTAGTTTTGCCTTTTCATGTCCACGTAATAGGTGCTCCTTCAGAAGAAATGTTCTGATATTGGGGAATGAGTGAACCTACTGTGTCAAAAGAATAGCAGTTTTCTGCATTTCAGATAGACCTGTGACTGCTGGCAACTTGTACCTTCACCGTGAAATACGCGCACAGCGCGTGTCGGGTGAGTCTGACTGTGCGTGCTCTCAGTCACCTAGTTAATCCTCACACCTACTCCGGGAGGCAGGAGCCTCCTCCATGTCACTGTGGAAGGAGCTCACCAGCCAGGGCTTCAGTGATCGGCCCGAGAGCGAGCTAGTCAGCGGCAGGGCTGACATTCCAGGTGAAGATGCCGGGTATCGCTTTCTACAAGCTCGGGTGTTCCGTCGGTGCACGTGTGTGAGAACTGCGTGTGAAAGTAAAGCGCCAGACAGTGCTTGAAGAAACATGATCAGGTTGGGGTGTAACCTAAAGAACCAGAATACCAATCAACGTTCTGATTTAAAAGAGGCATTTCTTTTCGGAGACTCAACATGTCATGAAACTTCTGGGCTACAACTTAGTCGAGTCAGCCTGAATCCTTAACCTGAACTGAACTTGGGCTGCATCTCGGAAATGAGTGGCGCTCAGGTTCCCAGCCACAAGGGGGACCCGACACCTTGGCCTTGGATAAGAGAGTCCCCTCTGTCTCTAAGACCTGGTCCTAAGATTCTCTGCCTCGGTCCCCTCTGCTCCTGGAGACACATGGGAAGCTGAGGGTCAGACCCCCCTTCCCTGGGGTCAGACCCCCTTCCCTGGGGGTCTGTCCAGAGTTGCCTCCCTGAGGCCCCTGCAGTTTTGTCTGAAGGAACGTGAAACCCCATTGTGAAGTCATTTTTCTGTAGAATCTTTAATTCCTGTTTTATCTTTAAAAAAAAAAAAGCTTATTGTTAGCACTAAGCCAGAGCGGGGCTGTGGATGATGACTGTAGCTGGTGAATCCCTCCGCGACTGGAGGCAGGCAGCGTCCTTGGAACGTGTTCCCGCGACTGCCTTCCGGGTCCACCGAACGTGTCAGCGCTGACGAGCGTGGGCAACTTCGCAGTTTCTGACCCACGAGGAAAACGGGACACAGAGAAGCCAGTTTCAGTAATGCTCAGGCCAAAGAGTGAGCCCGGCAGTTGTCTGCCTGAAGGGGCAGGTCTCGGTGGCTCTGCCATCACACTCATGTCTCTCCTCGGTCAGTGGAGTCTTTCTTTTTAAACAACAGAACCTCTCTGGCTTTTAAATGCCACCTTTTAGCTCCCGAACCATGAAGAGGTCAAACAGCCAAAAACATCCTGGAAATGAGTCCTGGGGGCTGCTTCAAGGAGTGTGACTCAGCAACACCGAATTAATCACAGCTGGGGGCAGCAGCAGGGCGCCCACATACACAGGGCCCACCTGTGAGGTCCGGACTCCCCACATCAGAACCGTGAGGGTGGCAGGGCAGCATTCCAAATGGTAAATGACTCGGCCCACCCCCCCAGCCTCGAAGGCCAGGGCTCCCCCCCCAGCCTCCCAGGCCAGGGTCCCCCCACTTCCCCGCCAACCTCCCAGCCCCTGCAAACTGCTTGAGTGTCTGGAGGTGAGAAACGTTGCAGTTCTCTCTCCTGGGAGCTTGGATGGCGGGGGGACGCATGTACCAAAGAGCAGGTATAATCTCTGTCCTCAGTGGGTTTTTAAAAAATGTTTTTATTGATTTTTTTTTTAGCGAGGAAGGGAGAAAGAAATAGAAACATTGGTATGAGAGAGATCCATCAATCTGCCGCCTCCTGCATGTCCCCAAATGGGGATTGAGCCTGCAACCTGGGCATGTGCTCTGATCAGGAATCAAACCGAGACCTCGCAGTCCCTGGGACGACACTCAGTCCACTGAGGCACACCGGCCAGCAGTCTTCAGTGGTCTTGTGGTCTCAGGTGTGAGGCAGGCAGACTCTCAAGGAGCCAGCTGAGATTTACAGTGCACCACACATGCGCGGAGCAGGTTGGACCCTCCAGCCCCGCAGCCCCCGAGGGGCCAGCCTGTAACAGGGGAGGGGCTGGAAGTCACCACCAGCACGGGCTCTGTCAGTGCGCAGCGGCTGTGCCCGGGACTGGCTCAGCTTCCTCCGCGGTGACCCTCCAAGTGGGGTGGGGAGGTGGTCGGAGCAGCTGTCACCTAGCGGCTTTGTGTTGTTTCCCCAAACAGTCCCAGAATGAACCCTACTTCCTAAGGGTTCTGAGCCTCATAGTCCCCCATTCACTCTCCTGGTCCACGTGAACCCCCGGAGCACCCACAGGCCCCTGCACAGGCAGGCCCGGGACCCTGGGAGCAGCCCTGACATGATCTCTGCTAACCCACAATGCCGAGGTGCGGGAACCACACGGGAGGGTGTAGACTGCTGGGCCCTGGGCCGCACACAGGAAGCGGTCACAGATACGTGGGCTTTCCTTCCGCCCACACTCCCTCCACACCTCCCTCCTGACCTTGGGCACCTAATAATAGAGGTCAGTGTTTGGATGGTCCCTCACTGTCTGAAGTCCCAGCATTCGCTGTCTGTAATTCGGGCGGATTAGATAGCCGGCACCCTCAGCACCCAGAATTGCTGTCTGAACTCTGGAAGTTTGAGGGGGTAATCAACAGACGTGGAGAGGGGGGAGGGCTGGGTGGAGCCGTAGCGAGGGCCAGCGACGGGCCGTGCCTCTCCGGCAGGAAAATGGGGCCTGGGGCGCTGTGACTGCGTGAAGACTGGCTTTGCCAGCAGAGATAACTGCAGACCTTTGTCCGTCTGAAGAGGCCACCTTGGGGGGAACAGAACGGCTCCCAGCTTTCCGAGCTCTTCTCCAGGCGGGGTCTCTGGAGGGCCTTGCCCGCGAGTCCTCCCTCCTCTCGGCAGCCCTGGGCATGGGGGTGGCGCTGGCGAGGTTCAGAACGAAGCCGACTGCAGTGACGGTGACAAGCAGAGCTGACGGACACAGGACGAGGTCCCTGGTCGCACTGAGTCACCGGATCCCGTCTCACCGGAAGCCCACGTTCCTCTGAACCTGTCACCTCCCCAGGTGGTAACTTCCTTCCAACCCCGTGGGGACCCTCCTGAGGGACACACGGACCGACCTTCCGCAGGCGCCCTGGGCTTCTCCTGCTGGCCCCTGTGCGCCAGGCGACAACACATCTCTTCTGAAAAGTGTGGAAAGCAATTTATGGGGGGAGGACTTCAAGGAGGAGTCAGAATAGACAGAAGCAGTTGTCTCCCAAGTCTCCGTGACTGAGGGCGGATCCCTGGTTCGCAGCGGGTGCCGCCTGCCCGGGCTGCAGCGTTCACTGAGCGGCGCTGCCCGGCCAGCGCCCGGGGGCAGCGCAGACACAGTGCGGACCAGCGGAGGAGCCCTGCGGGCTGGTGGCTATTTCCGTTCTGGTCACAGGGGGCATCTGCCACCCACTCCGCCCACGGAGGGCAGCCAGGAGGCACGGGGCAGCTATCTGAGGACTCGAAGCCATACAGGGAGCCTGGAGATTTGGGGAGGAACCCGGAACTCCAAACACTACCCCACTGCGGAGCTCCCCATTTTCCTTCCTCTGGGCGCAGACAGCATGGAGCCGGGCACTGACGGGAGGCAGACAACCCCCCAGAAGCCCTGATCGCTGGCGGGAGGAAGGGAAAGAGCCCGGCAGTCCGAGCACAGAAGCCTGTGTCTTTGTGTTTTCCATCTTCCCTGTCCAGCCCCAGGCGGTCCGGTGACAGTAATAGCAATGGCAGTGGCCGCCAAACGGGTGACCAGAACACGGAGGGAGGGGGACCCTTCTCTCTGACTAACTTTTAAGGAAAAGACAAAACTCTTATCAACATAAAATTCAGCCCAGCAGGCATGGCTCAGTGGGGTGAGCGTCGTCCCTGGACTGAGAGGTCCCTGCTGATTCCTGGTCAGCGCACCTGCCCGGGTTGTGGGCTTGACTCCCAGTGGGGGCGTGCAGGGGGCGGGATGTTTCTCCGTCGATGTTTCTATCTCTCCCTTTCTCCCTGAAGAAAAAAAAAATCAACTGATTGAACAAGCCTTGTTTGCAATAATTGTAAATATAGGAATTTAACACGTTAAGGAGACTTACCTCAAAGTCAAATAGTGCAAAGAAATAACACATTACAAGAGATTTTAAACATCATGAGAAATGTTTGCTTTCATTTTCCAGACAGATTCTGCATTCTGACAATTTGAAATGACAGTCGTATTTCGTGGAAAGCCACCTAATCTACGCATGCTATGAGTCACTCTCACGAACAGGTGTGGAAAGTACAGTCCTCATTATGGGGAGAATCACGGAGTTTTGAAGAATCCCTTCGTTCTGGAATGGGGGAAGCAGAACGACCTATAAAAAATCATAAATACAAGTATTTCTTTGAGAAGTTAAGGAGAAAGAAACTTTATTCCTCCTTTCCATGTAGTGTAACAACTGTACATAATGATTTAAAATCATTCTGTCCGCAAATGTTAGCTTAAAGGGAAAGAACTCCATCCTGCATGTGTCTAAAAAATAGAAGCAGGGTCTAGACATTATCCACGACAAGCGCCAGCACCGAATTCACTTCGGACGGCCCCTAACATCTGCACGCAGGTGTCTCTCCAACAGCCCGCTCTTCTCCTGGCTTCCGAACCTGGTACCAGGGGTCCCAGGCAGGGGGCCCAGAGAACTCTGAGCCTGTTCCCAGCACCGCGCCCAGCTCCGCACACACCCCGCCAGCCACCGACGCTGCCTCTCCCGCCTGTCCAGCCTCTCCAGCCTCCCTCCTTCCCAAGT